GGGGGGGCGAGAGAGAGAGAGACAGACAGACAGAGGGGGCGAGGGCAAGAGAACGAGGGAGCAAGAGGAGCTTTACTCCTTCACTGGCCACCATGCAATGCCGAGAAAATCCAGGCTGTGCTGCCACAATCTGTGCCAGCCAACCTGCTCAGCAACCTCAGTGCATTTACTAAATTACATACGGGTGAAGCTCCTTTACCTGAGTCCTGTATCTGAGGAAATATAGACAGGGTGGGAGTTGTGGAGGGGAATATAGCTGGCAGGGAGTTTGGTTTCTGGTTGGCTTTGGCATTTATTGATCAGTATGAACCCCCCAATAGACTACAGGAAATCTTTGCCCACATTTGTACCCAGAACATTTCAGGCAGTCACACGCTGAGCAGCCAGAAGAAGAAAAAGATGGCCACAAACAGAAAGAGCGAGTCCCAGTTGTTGCTGTTGTTGTTGCCACCTCGGATCGGCCCAAAGTAGTTGTCCCAGTCTAGGCCCCCGTTGGTTGGATGGTGCCGGTCATTGTCTTAAAAACAAGGGAACAGGGTTTACAGAGGAATAGGATCCGGGAAGGAGACACACACCGCTCCAAAGCGCAACACCACACCACACCACAACCAGAGAGGGCCCTCTCCCTCCGTCCCAGGTCATACTCTCGCCCACTCTCCCCCTCCCCGCCACGTGTCGCCCTGCCCAAATCTCCACACCACCCTTTCTTCAGTCTCTGGCCCCTCACTCTGCGTCTCACTGACCCCCCACTCCACATCTCTGTCTTGCTCTGCAACACCGCCCCCCACTCACTGCATCTCTCTACGCCCCTTTCCTGACCCCAAACTCCCTTTCTGTCTCCAGGAGATTATGCAGTAGACATTGATATTTTCCGGCCAATGTGTCTCGGAAATTTGGGGGAGCTATGCGCTGTATCTAATGACACCCTGTATCCCACATTGTGCTCAACCATAACTCTAATTCATACACTCACTGATTACTGCTGTTAATGACGCAAAACAATGAACAGAACTCCACCCAGGGTACAAACAAACTCATTGAGATGCTGCTTACCCTTAACATGAGGAAATGAATCTGGTGAGGTGTTTAAACACAGCATGTTACTGTCACACTGTCCCCGAGGTGTTTAAACACTGTGTGTTACTGTCACACTGTCCCCGAGGTGCTTAAACA